TGTTACCATAAAGCTAATCTTTTGCTTTAAATGAGGGTTCATTAATTGGTACCTCATCTCTCTCGCAAAAACTATAATTTATTCACTATGATTTCCAGTATGAATTTCTCTCTAAAGCAAAGAAAGAGATCAAAAACTTTGTGAAGTAAGGTAAGCAGAAAGTCATTCTAAATTTTTGTAACTGTCCAACATAATTTTTAGTGGTCCTGGGGATTGAACCCATAGCCTTGAGGATTTTAGGCAAGTGTTCAACCACCAAGCTACATCTCCTTGTACCTCTCCTCACATCTGCATATTGTTCAAATTATCAAATTCAACAGCAGTACTTTAAATGCTTCCCCTTTAAATCTTTCCACTCACTTTAGATTTCACTGGAACAGTAACTGTTTTTCATACTTTGTGTGATATTCATTAAATGATATTCACTAGTTTGTGTCATCAAAATAATATATTCAAATGGCATAAGCACACTGGGAACTACCAAAGTGACTGCTGAAAGACAAAAACTCAAGAGATAGGAACAGAAATACGTAGTTATTTTGAGACAATCTCCAGGCCTTGAAAGTTCAGCTAACATGTCGGCACATTCTTCTGAGGGAACCTGGAGAGTCTGTTAAATTAGGCTGTTAAACTATAGTGATTTATTTTCTGTTCAGGTACCCAGTACCTTTGCTTTTAGTTCTCCATTTCAACCTTTTCCAAGGCTAGTGGTACCAAAGAATTTCACCTCCTACCTTTTTACGGTTCCTATACCTAACATTGTTTCATTGCTTTAAAACTTTCATGTGGACAGGGTGACCAGTCATCATTAATAAATTAAGACATTAGTAACTCATTATTGTATGATAACTTAGAATTTTATTGTAATTATTTCACTTATATTGCAAATTCTATGAAGACAACTGGAAAATTTTCTGTAAAGGGTAGATGATAAATAGTTTAGCCTTTGCAGGTCCCTACTGCTAATTCTTTTTTGTTGTCTCATACAAAAATGGGCTACTTAGCATATTTAGGGCATAATTTGCTGAATTTTGTTGTAAGACAAGGTAGAACAGGTAATATTATGAATCTCTTATAGATACACAGTACATATTTAAAAATTAACATTTATTTTCAAAAACTTACATTTGATAGACACAATTAAACATGCTAAATGCTTTATATGCATTATCTGACTCAATCCTTACAGTTCTCTTATACTATTATTGCTATAATTATTCCTTTTAGAAGTAAAAAATTGAGACTTGGAGAGATTAACTTCCCAATAATAAGTGGTAAAATCAGAAAACAAATCCAGAAAGACTGCCTTTTCAATTACTAAGCTCTACTACTTCTGAAAAAGCTTTCAGATAATGTACCCAAGGCAGCCCAAAACAGAAGACTGATTTTCTGACACAAGACTGGTTTACTAAATATTCAGAAAAATCTACATTGTAAAGAGATTCAACAACATCTTAATCCAATGAATCTAACAGTATTGAATTTGGTACTGAGAGAAATACCAGATCTCAAGTTTCACAAAGCTAACATTTACAATCACTGGTTTTTCAATGAGGCAGCATAAGATAATCTTAATTATGGAATGCAAAAATAGATTTCTTAAAAATGTAACATTCAATTTGTGTCACTAAGCATTTAATAAATCACATTATAAAATGGAAAGTCAGCAATGTAGCAGGTCAGGCAGGCACTTAGGGGTAAACTAAAGGTGACAAAAGGAAATTTAAGCAAAGAGAAATACACAATGTTTAGGTGACATTCATGCCATAACTGAGAGGAATTTAAGGCAGGAAGGTAATGTTGCAGAAGTCCACAATTGAGGGTAGCATACTGCAGTATCCTAGAATGCAATATTCAGAAATGTAATAACATAACAAATGGATCCAAGAAAACTAATAGACCCTCCTGTTATTACAACCTCCCACTCTAAATACAGTTTCCAAAATGGAAACAAAGCCTTTGCAAATAGGGAAGGGTGGAGGGATTGAGGGGAGGGCAGGGGAAAGGGAAAAAATAAGAACCAAGATACATCATCTAAAGGTACAAGTTCCCAATGATGAATGTAAATGTTTTGTATACCTAAAATGTACCAGTAAGAGAATTTAAGAGAAAAAATAAAGTTTCCATTTCTGCTTTGAGTATGTGTTGGAGACAAGAACAAAGACCAGGAAAGGGGTTAAGAAGTTAAACTTTAGAGAGGGAAAGGGCTATGCAGTGAAAGTAAAATATAGCAAATGTGGCCTTCTTTAGCAGCCTGCTGTTATCCTTTCTTGGATTAGGGGGAAATGCATGTGATTCTTTGCTTGCTCCACAAGAAGTACTGAGAGGACTGAGGCTGCTGCCACAGTCTGTACAAAGGCTTGGGTCAAAGGGTTATCACCTGCCTCATGATGATAATGATGATGATTATGACGATGACAAAGACCACAAACACATATCATACTTATTATGTGCCAGGCAGTCTTCAAAGAGTTTTGAGTGTATAAGTAAATCTCACAATCAAACTATGGGATGAGTGGTTTTAGAATCCCTGTCTTTGATGAGGATGCTGCTGAAGCAGGGAACAGATAGTTAAATGGCTTGTCCAACTTCACACAGCTAAACAGAGTGAAGCTGGAGTTAAAACCCAGGGAGACTGGCTCCCCAGCTCACATATTCTTAACCACTCTGTTTTACTTGGCTGTGCCTCAACAAGCAATTGGCATCTGACTTTTTTTAGCATATAAAGTCCTATGAGCATTGAAGGCAAGATCAGGGTAAAGAACAGACAGTGCGACTGGAGAAACAACCTTGGAAAATCTGGCTATGTCTAAGGCAGCAGCTTGAGCTTGAGAGAAAGATTAACTCAATGGAGCAGGAAATTATCATATTACCACAGCAATTTGAACATGTTAAACTAGCAAACTAAACCACTTTAAATTTCGAGACTACACTGAATATAACTCAGGTCATAAATTCTGGTCTTCAGTATGTACTTGCATTGATCTTTTAACAAATGAATACAAATAATTTTTAACAATTAAAGCAGTCATGCTAAAAATGAATTTTTAGCCACACTACTTAGAAGGAATGCCAATACTGATTGTATCAATATTACAGGTAAAAGAATGAATAATTTTACAAGTTCTGATTATGTGTTTTCTCAATACTGACCTAACATTCCTTGGTAAAATTAGTATTCACTAGACAGATGCTAAGTTTGAAATAGGAGAGTACTTTGTAAATTAGAATTTGCTACTGTAACTCACATAAAGGCAAAAAGTAGAAAAACATGTTAGATCTTGAAACATATTCTCAGGAAACTGCCTTTCTAGTTAATATGAATTTCTTTTGTACAGTTAGGTAAGCAAAACAAACCAGAAATGTGAGAAAGAGCTGCTCTGGAATACCAACCTAATATTCTAGATCTAGCTCATAAAACACAGTCCTGTTAGTCCACTCTCGGGCAGCTCATAGGGAGAGGTCAAGTACAAACACTGAGGACAAACTGCAAATGGTCAGAGGGTCTGCCATCCCTGTGTGACAGCAATAGTTTTAGGACTCTATAAGCAGAACTTTGGTGTGATGCCCATATAGTCTCAAGGAAAACCTGGACAAAAAATAATATTAAATTGTTTTAAAATAAAATTGTGTTTGCAAAAAGAAAAAGAGAAACACAGAAGCACTTACACTCACTCACACACACACACACACACACACACACACACAATTTAGGAAATGTATACCCTGATATGGAAAATACTGATCAATCTATATTAATTTTGTATTTTATTAAACATAACACAAATTTCACAAGAATTAGGAAAATATGTATATGCAGCACATATATATATTTATAAAACACATGCTCCCACAGAGGAAGCTTGAAATTCTGCATAGCAAATAGTGTGGTTCAAACTGGCAATCCTAGAGTTTGGCAGTGTACTGTTGTCAATTAACTGGCAAAAGGGTACAATCTGTGAGACCTGTAGATTTGTATAATCTAAATCAAATGCTAACTTCATTAAAGCCTACGGACCCTTGAACCTTGAAACTTCCTTCTTGCCATTGCAAATACTCTGGTTCTCCCTCTTCAGAAACACCAGAATAACTCCTCAGCAACATTCATATTTGAAACATGAAGGCAAGAACTATTTGGATTCCTCTAATTTCTGGTTCTGATTCTAGTTCAGAATTGAGGCACAGCTAGATTTCATTTACCTACGTTCCAACAGATAATCCATATTTCTTTTGGGTTTTTTTTTTTTTGGTACCGGGGATTGAACTCAGGACCTTGCACTTGTAAAGCAGGCAGCACAAACACTGAGCTAAATCCCTGGCCCAATCCATGCATCTTATTACAAATTTTTCTTCATTTAAGCAGATTTTAGTTACTTGAAATCAAAAGTGCTTGACCAAAACAAATAGCAGGCTTTAATTTGAAATCTAAAAGCCTGGAATGTGTAAGCAAACCAATTCTCAAGCAGAACAAGGGTTTTTTTAAAAGTCCACTGAAATATTAAATTCCCTAATCAATGCTATTCATGAGTATCTTCTATTTTGAATCACAAAAGCTGCAACAAAATGCATTCCAAAAAAATACATTCCATTCATGTAGAAATAATCATTTTCAATACTATAATGCCTGTAAAATTTAAAAATGCATTTAACTACATTTTCCATGACAGTGGCTTTCAAACCTATTTTAGGCAACAGAACATTTTCTTCTAATGAAATCTTAGATTTATGCCCAATGCAAAGAATAGATGAGAAAAATCTGATGTGTCCATGCGTGCATGTAGGAGCCTGCAGGCAGAAAACCCTGTCTGATGGCCACCCTCTTCCCCTGCTGGAGTCATTGGAGTCATTGGAGTCATTCCCCTTGAGGAGTCATTGTGGAGCCCTGTGACCCGCATGAATCAGAGAGCTTGAAAACCACTGTGTCTAGAAGAAAAAGACAGGCACTATTCCATACTTTAATGTCACAACTAAGACACCACATCAATCACTCATCTATTTACCTGTGGGCTTTAAAACTTTTTCCATCAACATAAATATCAATATCTGGACAACAACGTTTCACATAAAGCTTCAATAAATCTTCTCCTAATTCAGAGGCAGGTTCCAAGTCATAATTATCTTTAAAAGAGAAAATAAGACTAACAATACAATATTATAAACATCACAAAATTTTATTTTCTAAAATTAGGAAGAGGTTCTTCTACATAATTATCTCAATGAGCTGGGATATTTAAGTGGTAAGTTCAAAATTTAAAAAATTGTAATTAGTCCACATTTTCTGCTTTGAAATATGTATTTCCACTTACACTTAAATATGGACTGGCCTTTATATATAGATACACACTTAAACATAGCATCAAAAAATTATATACCAAAATAAATTTATTTTATGAACATCTAAATTAGAAAATTTTCCAATTTTGATATTCTTCCATTACTTAATTCCTTCCTATTCGCTATGTTGAATGTCCCCAAAGGTGTATGTGTTAAAGGCTTGGTCCATGGAGACCTTTAGGAGGTACAGCATGGAAGGTCTCTGAGAGCAAGGGAAGGGTAGCACCCTGGCTGCTTCTTCTCTCACTTCCTGGCCATAAAGTAAGCAGTTTGTTCCACCAGCCATACCTATTCATTCCATCTGCCATGCTCTCTCAAGATCGAAAAGAATGGTCCTCCCTGAACGTGGACTGGAACCTCTAAAACTGTGAGCCAAAGTAAGGCTTCCCTCTTCATCTCAGTATTTCATTATAAGGAAGCAAAGCCAGAAGCTAGCTATTACACCCTACTTCATGAACATATGGCTAGAATGACGTGTAAACTGATAAAACATTCAACTGAAATCAATGTGAATTATTAGGGAACTAATTGTGATTTAGTACTAAATACAACATTGAAGAGGTATAAAAAAATATTTTTAAAACTATCTGTTCCTCAAAAGAATTACCATTTTGGGAGTAGGAAGTAAAATGTAAGTTATATACACATTAAAAAGAAAAATACTACATTGTATATGAAAGTTCACAGATATGACATGGATCATTGTATGCTATAGTGTATTATATAATCATTGTAAACTACATTGTAAAATTGGCATTAAACATTTTTTTTTGGAGGCAAGGTGTTACTATGAAGTTCAGGCTGCCCTTGAACTCACTACATGGCCTAGGCTGGCCTTGAACCTGTGGTGATCCTCCAGTCTCAGCCTCCCAAATGAGATTACAGGTGTATGTCGCTATGCCTGGCTTACACCTAAAGTTGACCTCAAGCTGTCTCCACCCTTGAGTTCCCACATACTGAACTACTTAGTAAGCAAATCAAAACCAAACTTGGGAGTATATATTTTTGATAACAGCAAGATCTCAACCAAACACAACTAGCCAAAATTTACCCAATCACAGGAAGCCAACTGATCAGACCATGTGCAAATACAGAAAAGGCCAACTTACAACAAATCAAGTCATTTCTGTATTTTACTTCCATTTTATATTCATAAATAGCCACTGCCCAGTTGATAAAGTGCAGCTCTCTAAACCTCTTCCAAAACTGAACACTGCATGTTTCATGAACTGTTCCTTGTTCAAATAAATTCAATTAAATTTACTTTGTCTAAAGATTTCCTTTTAACAAATAT